GCTTTTTTCTTTTTGCTTATGTGGTGCTGAGGAGTCGAACTCAGGGCCTTAGGCATGCAAGGTAAGTGCTCTACCACTGGGCCACCTTCCCAGCCCACGAGTACATTTCTTATTAAGTATTGTTGCCTCCTCTTTATTTCCCCTTCCCATCCCTTCCCATCCTCCCTCTACCTCCCCCCTACATGTCCTTTTGACCCTTACAGTAAGTCCAAACCCTAAATTACACATGGTAAAATCAGGTTCAGATTTCCTGAAGGCTTACTACCATCAGGACTGTTGTCTACACCAGGCAGAAGAAGTGTTTCCACTTTTGACACACGTTTTTAATGTTTATCTTCAAATGGTTATATAAGGAGGCTGCATATGTTATGTAAATATAAATACATATATATGTATGTATGTATTGGTGTCAGTAATAAGGCTTTAATTCAGAGCCTCAAGCTCTTGCTTGGCTTTTTTACTCAAGACTGGCACTATTTGAGCCACACTGCCACTTACTGCTTGAAACTGGTTAAACAGAGTTTCACACACTTTTCTATCCAGGCTGGTTTTGAAATTTGGTCCTCATATCTCAGCCTCCTGAGTAGTTAGGATTATAGGCATGAGCCACCAGTACCGGGTTGGGTGGTGGTATGGGGGGATGTTACTATTTAACATATCCATTTATGTGTATGGTGCATCTTAATCAGAACTACCCCTTCTATCATTCTCCCCACCTTCTACAGTCTTCCTCTGCCAGTCACATCAAGTTTCCCACTAAACACTTACACTAAGAATTATGAATGTATTTCTTCACTGTTCCGTTTTCCACTCACCACCACCTCCATCAGCCTCCTTCCACTCAAAACGTTTCAGCTTCCTGATATTTGTTAAACTGTCTGTTATATAGACAAATGGAAAGGTTGCCTTAGGCCTGGAGGTGTAGCTCAGTGGTAGAGCACATGCTGAGCAGCAGAAAACCCTGGATTCAGTCCCCTAGTAAAACATACACATGCACACAGACATAGACACACACACACAGAGTTTGCCTGCTATCTTTCCAGGTATTGCCTCATTCTCTGTTGGCATTATACTACTGGAAAGTTCTTTTGAAGGGCTAACCAGCCTTCTCTGTTGTCCACAATATCTAGTTTTGAGGCCTTGTAAGACTAAAATATATCTAGGGTTCATCTTTCTCAGCAAAAAGCAGAAGTGAAGCTATGATTCAAGTGGTACAGCATCATCTTTGAGTTAAAAAGCTAAGAGAAGCTGAGTGCCAGTGACTCCCACCCGAAATCCTAGATATTCAAAGAAGGCTGATATCTAAGGACTGTAGTTTGAAAGCCAGGCCAGGCTAGAAAGTCCATCAGACTCTTACTTCCAAGTAACCACCAGAAAACCAGAAGTGGCACTGTGGCCCAAAGTGGTACAGTGCTAACATTGAGTGAAAAAGCACAGGGACAGTGACCAGGCCATGAGTTCAGTCCCCATGACTGAAGAGAAAAAAAAAAAGCTAAGGGATAGCACTCAAGCCCTGAACGCAGTCCTCCACACCAGCATTTAAAAAAATAAATAAAATAAGAGTGGGAACAGAAAGAAGACCATAACAAATAATACAGATCAATACAAATGGTAAGTTATAAAAGTAATGCCTATTCTTAAGAAAATGAATGGATCTAGGCATTCACACACAGTGAGATCAATGGAAGATACTCTTACAAGAGGAACACAAAAGTAACAATGTTTATGTGCATCTGATCATACAAAACAACATTTATCAACATGAACTCCAGGAAAAGAAAACATGAGGTTTTTTTTTCTTTTTTTGCTGTTTTGTTTTCTTTTCTTCCTGTTCTGTTTGTTCATTTATATGTCTTTGTGAATGTAAA